ACTTCATCAAAATTAAATTGACTAACATTAATTTTTCTAATTTGATTTACATTTTAATAGATTCTGTGATTTTCATAACATCTCTTGTTTTAGTTTTCAAATTTTCACAACACTTATCAAATTATCCATAGCCTTCTGCAGACCACTGTCAAGCCATCTCACATCTTCTTCACCTTCACTTCCCAATGTCATAGAGCAATGAAGACAAGAGAAGAGAGGTACAAATCAAAAACAGAGAGAGAGGTCCAAATCTCATAGAGCAATGAAGAGAAGAGCAGAGAAGAAGAGAATAGAAGATAAGAGAAGAATACCTTCGAATCGATGATTCGATCGCTGCTAGCCGCCATTGCTGCCGATCGCCGATCTGGAAAATTATTTTGAGAGAGAGTTTTGGAAAAAGTGATTGATTTGATGTGTGTGTGAGAGAGATTTGTTTGGAAAACTTGTTTGGTTTACAAGTTTTGAGAAATTTTTTTGGAAAAATTTGTTTGGTTTGATTACTTTTACAAACTTATTTGTAGAGAAAATTTCCCAAAAAAATTTCAGAAACACAAACCAAATGAACCCAGTGTTGTTTCGAAGGTTAGGGCTCCGAAACTAGGGCTCTACAAACCTAAAGGGAAATGAAAAAAAAAATGGGGGAAAGACGGGGAAAAGACAGGGGGGAAATTGAGGTTTTGTTAGATTTAGATTTTTGGAATATTTTTAATATTTTTAATATTTAATTTTTTAAATATTTTTAATATTATTAATGTTTATACATGCTTAAAAAATTAATTGACAGAAAATAAAAAAAAAAATGATTTGAAAAAAAAATATTCAAAAAAATTACTTAAAAACAATTAATTGAAAAAAAAACATTTTTTTATTTGAGTATTTTAAAAATAGTTTGGCTATGACTCTTGATCAAAAATACGGATATCGAGTTATGAGTTATGTATTTGATTATCAATTATATGTTGAATTAAGTTTTGAAAACTATTTTGAAAACTCATCACCAAACAAATTTTTTTATTTCACATGTCACATCAAACTTTCAAAACTCAATTTCACATACAATTCAAAACTCAATTCAACACTCTATTAAAAAACCATGACCAAACAAATTTTTTGTAGTAGAGGAAAGGGAGCGACAATAGTGGTGAAAGTGATGGATAAGAGGTGGTGGTGGTGGTGGTGATGGCGAAGGAGATTAGTGATGAAGTTGTGGTAGTGGTATGGGAGATGGAGTGGCGGCGGTGGATGAGAGGTAATAGTAGTAGCAGTAGTGGTGGTAGTGGAGTGGTGGCAATGGCAGTAGTCATGGTAGTCGTAGAGGTGAAGTGGCAACAGTGGAAGTAGTGGTGGTGGTGGAATGGCGTTTGCAGTAGTGGTGAAGGTGGTAGAGGAGATGGGTGGTGAGAGAGAGATGAATGAAAGACAGATAAAGGAGAGAGAAAGAGAGACAGAGTGATGAGCGAGAGAGAGACAAAGTGGTCGCTAAAAGTGCATTTTCTTGTAGTGGATCGATAAATAGAGAGGGAGCTAAGTAAATAGAGTATACGGGAGGGAGAGAGTGAGCAACGCAAACATAGTGGGAGAAGAGAGGGGGAGAAAAAGAGAAAGAGAAAGAAATAGAGATAGAGATAGAGAGTGAGAGACAAAAAAGAGAGAGAGAGAAGAGAGAGAGACAAAGAGAGATAGAGAGAAGAGAGATGAACGAGAGAGACAATGAGAAAGATAGAGAGACAGAGAGAAAGATAGAGAGATGACCGAGAGAGACAGAGAAAGATGAGAGATGAGAGAGATTAAGAGAAGAGAGATGGGCAAGAGAGATAAAGAGAAGAGAGATGAACGAAAAGGACAAAAAGAGAAGAAATGAGAGAAGAAATAGATGAGTGAGAGACACAGAGAGAGAGAGACAAATAGACAGACAAATAGAGAGAGAAGAGTGATGAGTAAGAGAGAGAGATAGAAAGAGAAGAGAGAGATGGAGATGAAAAAATGGATGAAAAGGTATAGACAAAGAGAGAGAGAGAGAGAGAGAGAGAGAAAAGAGCGAAAAGAGATAAACGAGAGAGAAGCAGAGAGAGATAACTGAGAGAGGTAAAGAGAAGAGAGATGAGAGAGATAAAGAAAAGAAAGATGGACGAGAGACACAGAAAGAAAGAGAGACAGACAGACAGACAGACAGACAGAGAAGAGTGATGAGTGAGAGAGAGAAAGAGAAGAGAGACAGAGACATAGAGAGACAAAAAAGAGTGATAAGTGCGAGAGAGAGAGAGAAGAGAGATAGAAAGATGAAAAAATGGGTGAAAAGAGAAATGTTCAAAAGAGTAAGACGACGTCGTTTTTATTTTTTTTTGTAACAGAAAAATACCGTTACATTTATTTAAACAATTTTATGACTATATATATATGAAGTCGTCTCAAAGCCACAATATATATATATATATATATTATTTTTTTTTGCAACGGTACGTATTACAATCGCAAAAAACTCTTCTTCTTTTTTGCGACTGTAGTTGGTACCGTCGCAAAAACTTTATTTTTTTTTTGCGACAGCAATCTCTGCCATCACAAATACTCTATTTTTTTTTACGACAGCAATTTCTGCCATCACAAATACTATATTTTTTACGACGACAAGTTGTGCCGTCTCAAAAAAAAAAGTCACATTTTTTGGCGACAGCAAGTTATGCCGTCTCAAAAAGTCACATTTTTTGCTTGAGACGGCAAGTTGTACCGTCGCAAAAAAGTTCCGTCTCATAAGCCCACTTTTCTTGTAGTGAATCGTAGATAAAAATTTTCAACACATTTTTTATTAAAATTTAGTCAAATTATTTATATGTATGTCTTTGTGTATATAAATATTTTAAAATGTATATTGTTTGTATATTACCCTTTTTATTGTATTTAGTAAGTAAATCTAAAATAGAGATATGTGGTTAGTGGTTTTGAGTTGGTTATGATCAAAGTTAGGGGTTATTGGTGAAAATGATGTTAGTTATAAGATGTGGTTATGAGATATGTGATGGTGGTTATGATCAAAATGGTATGGTTACGAGCCAAAAGGTATTGGTTATGAGATGTGGTTATGAGATATGTGATGGTGGTTATGATCAAAATGGTATGGTTACGAGCCAAAAGGTATTGGTTATGAGATGTGGTTGTGAGATATGTGATTAGTGGTTATGAGTAAAGTGGTGTGGTTATGAGTCAAAGAATGTTGGTTATGAGATATGTGATTAGTGGTTATGAGCAAAGTGGTGTGGTTATGAGCCAAAGAATGTTGGTTATGAGATATGTGATTAGTAGTTATAAGTAAAGTGGTATGATTATGAGCCAAAGAGTATTGATTATGAGATATATGACTAATGGTTATGAGATATGTGATGTTAATTATGATCAAAGTGGTGTGACTATGAGCCAAAGGGTGTTATGAGATATGTGATTAGTAGTTATGATATATGTGATGTTAGTTATGAGCCAAAGAGTGTTGGTTATGAGATATGTGGGTAATGGTTATGAGATATATGATTGTTGATTATGAGATATGTGATTTTGGTTATGAACAAAGTGATGTAGTTATGAGTCAAAAGGGTGTTTGGTTATGAGATATGTGGTTATTAGTTATAAGATATGTGATATTGGTTATGATCAAAGTGATGTGGTTATGAGCAAAAATGTGTTGATTATAAGATATGTAATGTTGGTTATGAGTCAAAGGGGGATTGGTTATAAGATGTGGTTATGAGCTATGGGGATTGGTTATAAGATGTGGTTATGAGCTATATGAGTAGTAGTTATGAGATATGTGATAGTGGTTATGATCAGAGTGGTGTGATTATGAGCTAAAGGATATTGGTTATGAGATGTAGTTATGAGATATGTGATTGTAGTGGTTATGAGATATGGTTATGAGATAAGTGATGAGAGCTCATAACTAAGTTATGATTAATTTAATTCTAGTTATGAACAAATATGATTTTAGCTCATAACTATAAAAAGTAACCTGCTTACCAGGTCCCTTTTAATGATGTGGCTCAATCTGAGTCATTGATTTTCGATGGACCATACATTTTTTAAACAAAATGTACTATAGACTTTTCCATCGTTTTATTGCTTTGTTTTTACACTCGAGGTTGATTAGGTAATAGGAGTCTTCAAGAATGAAGATCGAGGCGTGGCGCTTTGTGGGGTCCAATGGATCAAAAACCTAAGCTTGATGTATTAGGCCATGCTTGGAGTTTCTTTAAGATTTCAGAGTTAGATAAACCTAAGCGTTGTAAGTCTCCTATCTTATACTCTTGATTCTCATAGTGAATTTTATTTGAGTATTGAGGCCATGTTTTCTTCTTCGAGATAAATTATTGTGTTATTACGTTGAATACTTTGTGGCTTGATAAATTCAACAAGGGTTGAACATTGACAAATCGAATATAATCAATATTTATTCCATCCCTCTAGACACAATCTATTCATACTCTAATATTTCATGCCAATCTAATTAATATCATCATGTAAGGGTAAAATTAGAAGGTATTTTATAATTATGAATCTAACATGTCCGAAGTCTTTTTCAAATTATATTTTAAAAGATCGATCACCTATAACACCTGCTTTTTAATGTTTTTCGTGAGAGAGATTCTGTCTCACTAAACCTAATCTACTACATATTTTATAACTAAAACATATTATTGATTAAATACCTCATCCACAAAACTAGGAATAACAACTCTTCTCTATATTCATTGACATTTTATTATTTTAGTTTATCCAAAATTTAAAAAATAAATAAATTAATGATTAAACTTCTCTGACCTATTGCATTATCTGCTCCTAACGGTATCAATGACAACCTGGTATTTGTTATCTATATTTATCTACAATTATTCAAAACTTTTTCTTTTTTGTTTTTTTTTTTAAAATTTTTCATTAATTTCAAGTTCTCTCCATATGTAGAAAACAAATTACATGGGGTACAAAAAGATAATTGAATTTGAGAGTTTTGTTTTTTTTTAATGGAATCCTTTGGACCGGCGGAGTCGGAGCCGGGCTGCGTGTAGCTGATTGTCGACACCGGTTTCTTTTTCATCGGTTGAACTGGGTTCGCTACTGGAGCTCGGTTTGGGTTCCTCTTGAGTAGTAGTGTGTATGAATTCTGCTTGGCTGTGGAGGTGAACTTGACCTGCCTCTGATTTGGGTGAATTGGCCACGAACCGGTGGTGATTTGCAGTGCCAAGAGATGTAGGAGGTAGTGGTGGCCGCCCCCTCTCGGAGGATGGGTGCCTGCGCTTGTTAGCCATACGGTGGTGAAATGCCGGTGATCCAGTCGGAGAGGATGGAGGAGCTGCTGCTGTTGGGTATGGGTTTTCATTCTTATGCTGCTGCTGCTGCTGCTGCAGCATAGGCTGGTTAAGCTTATTTGTTAGATTGAATTTTGAAACATATGAAGGTGAAAATAGTGAACCATTTTCTAATATATAGAGTAAATCGATTTGTGTTTGGTACAATGCATTCTTGTTAATGCAATTGTGTCTTTGAATGAATGAATGAGAATTTTCCTACAATTGCTTGTCCATGACATTATGATTTGTTAGCTACATTAAGGTAATGGTATATGTGCTTGTTTTCTTAACTTTGTCATTAGGGGCTCGAGTTCCATGGTTGTCATGTTTGGTTTTGGTTTTGGTTTTGGTTTGTTTTGTTTTTGTTTTATGTTTCATTTTCCCAAAAGCACAAGTAAAAATTGTTTGGCAAACTTTCCGAAAAACAGCTTCTTTAAAAATTGTAGAAAACAACCCACTTTTTAGGAAATATATCAAAAAGTTGTTTTGAATTTTAAAAACTGTTTCTTGCACAAAAAATGAAAATGATAGATGTTTTTAACTTTTCATTGTTTTATTTCCGAAAACACGAGAACTAAACACATAAATTTTTATAAATTTTTTGTCTAGGTATCACAAACCATCTTCCATAAACACTTCATTGTCACAAATCTCTGCAATTCAAATCTGTTTGCCCAAATGGTGAAATTTTGTGATACGGTAATAGAAATTAAGAAAGAAAGTAGGGACAGTTTAGAAATGCTGTCAAAAGCACTTCTTGCTTAGATTTTCAACCTGTCAAATGTAACAGTATGTATTTCTAAAAGTTACCAAACCATGCATAATTGGTAGTTCAAATCTCAGACTTGTCATTTACAGAAGTGGTCTGGTTTGGATTTGGAACTACAAGTGTGTCTATACATGTTATGCCTAATTGTTCATAGAACAGATTGCATCTTTGCTTCAAGGTGGGATGATTATAAGGCTCACAAAGCTATGAACCTAGATAATAACATGGGACCAATAACTTGTGAGTGACTGTGTCATATTCCGTGTTCTATTTCTGTGCGCATGCATAGCAAGACTCGGATAGCTAACCCATTGGAAGCTTTACCTCATCGTTGGTTTTGTTGTTGTAATCTTTCCAGACTGAGCAGCCATGTACGAAGAGCTTGGATGAATATTGATTGCCCTATTTTTGTGCCGTTTTGCCAGTAGTAAATAGCCAAGTCCCATGCCCTGGCCCTCAGCTCCTGCAATTTCCGGTCAATCTCTGTCTCATGCTTTGATATGTATGGCCGCAAGAAAGTTTCGTAGAAATAGCTGGTTCCCTGCATATTAACCACCACAAAATTATTTCTTTTAGTACATCATAATCATGTTTGGTGATGCCAAGTTCGGTGATGCGATTAATTATCCCTTTTTTCTTTCTTCGTTTTTTTTTTTTTTTTACCTTGGTCTTTGATACCACAGGTAGATAAACATGGCAAGCTTCATCTCACCATACATTGGCAACCTTCAAAAGCTGTTAAAACAGAGCTTTATATTTCAACATGAGAAATGGATGATATGTACACAAGATTGAGAAAAAACTGTGTATATACCACGAAATGAATATATCCCCGATTCTCTCAAAGACTGTCAACACTGCCACAATTATCCTGCAAAATTCATAAACAATAGTTGATTGAAAAACCTGTTGAATTGCAAAAAAATTCTCCTTTTTTTTTTTTTTTTTGGGGGGGGGGGGGGGGGAAGGGATATTTATTCTTTTTCCTCTGTTTTTTGTTTTTTTAAAGGGAATTTATCATGAGGGATTGGAAGAGAAGAGACCCTTCATTTGATTCATTTTTGGAATCATCTACACTAGAAATCCACATATTCATGACAATTCATGCCGATCTACAAGTTCTCGAAAACCTGTTGAATCAAAAACTAGTTTTTTGTTCTGGGTATTTATTCTGTCTCTGTTTTATCTATTTTTTGATTGGGAAATGATCACATCAATAAGTTGAAGAACAGTTGGAAATGAAGAGACTCTTCGATTGATTTGTTTTTAGAACCAACTAGAAATCAACAAATTCATGACATTTTATTTCATTTCAATCTTTTCTTGAAACTTCTTTCACATCCATTAATTCTTGCTCATAAGTTCACGCATTGAAGAGTATGAATCGCCATCATCGCTAATTTTTCATACATATTCAATTGTTTTGGATTATTTATTCACCCTTTGAATTATCACCAGCTATTTTTATTCGATGACCATGTCGTTATTGTTGAAAGCTGAAAATGATCCTATTATTATTATTGACTATAAACAAACTATATTTAGTTTTCAGGTTTTGTATTTACAAAAAATTGCTTAGGTAAAAGTGAGAGGGGTAACCATGCCAAAGTTTTAAAAAATAAAATTTGATTAGCTTGTACCACACTAGACATTTTAAACAGACTAGCACCAACAATTTCACAAAACATATTTGAGTCAACTTCAATTGCAATTCTGTTCTTACCAATATTGACACCAAAATCGAAGCTCTTCGATCTCAACTCTGTTCTTCTCAACTGTTTTGAAACACTCAAACGCAGGGTATGCATATCCAAGGACCAGACTGCCAATCAAACATGTAAGAATCAGCCTTTAATTAGGTTAATAATCCAAGAATATTCATTTTTAAAAAAAAAAAAGAAAAAAGAAAAAGAAAAAACAGGGAATCAAATAGTGGCAGAAAAGAAGGATCGGTTGATAACATACACAAGTCCTCTGGTGAAGAAATCTCCCAACATCCTTAATTCCTATCTCTCAATGCCCGCCAATATTCCTAAACAACCAAATAAAGCATCATATATATACAAACACAAATGAAAAACAAATATATTAATTTTTACAAAGTTGACATTGAAATACTCAAATGGATTGGAAAAAAATATCAAGAATAATATAAATAATTTCAAAATTTGAATTTGAAAACCCAAAAATAGTTGAATCATACCTGTTGTGAAAAGCAAAAACAAAACAAAACAAAACAAAACAAAACCCAAGAAGAAATTGCGCCGACTACTCGTGATCCCTTTAAGCAAAGATCAAGCGGTTGAAAACAGGGGCATTTGACAGATTCAGAGACTACATTTGAATGAAAATCTATCAGAAACAATTTCCAGGAAAAGAAACAGAGAGAAATGGGGTTTGAGATTAGTTCCTTTCAAAGAAATGGAATTGAATTACCTTGGAATCCCTGCGTTTAGGTGACTGGAAACAAAATGAGAATTACCCAGAAAATTGAGATGAGATTGAAGAAACTCCTTATACAGATTTATATATAACTAATCTAAATTAATCTGATAGTATGTATGTGTATGTATATCTTCTATATATACACACATCCGAGCAGTTTTGTTTGTTTATGAAACAACGATTGGGGTTTAAGTAAAAATGAGGAGAGAGAGAGGAGTTTGGATCCTCTGTAGTGCTTCCCTGCAGTGGTTCCTGTAGTGTCCCAAAACGACGTCATTTTGGGACAAAATTAAACACAAAAAAAAAAATTCTGGAAAATAAGAATTAGAAGCAGAAGCAGAAGCAGAGCCCTTCCCCTTCCACTTCGGCGAGAAGACTTGCGACAATTGATTCAAGCCACTAAACACCACTGAAATTTCTTGATTATTTCTCTCTCCCTCTCTCTCTCTCTCTCTCTCTTCATTTTTCAGATTGTTGAATGTTGGACCAACAATGCAAATTTCAATTGAAACAAATCAAGGCCATTAATGAATAATTAAGGTATTATTATGTTGATTCAGTAATCTCAACCCAAAACAATCCAAGTTTCCTATGTTTTCTGGGTTTGATAATAATCTGAAGCAGCGTTGGCCTCGTTTTGTTTGGTGTGATTTTGAAATCGGATTTAAGCCAAACCCATTTCGTCACTATCAATCTCATTCACAGAGATGAGTCCATGTACCTGTGGTGGTAGCGGCTTTGAGCTCTAATGGCCGACCAGCAGAGAGAAACGCGACCCTGTTGATGGAGACCACTCTAAAGGAGATGAGAGATGGCTCTTCGGCGATCGAGGTGGACCCCAAATCCATCGTCGGCGATCGAGGCCGCCTGGGAACAACCTTTCAGCTGCGCAACTGCTCTTCCTCCTACTCCTCCCTACGCCGTCGTCCACTCTCGCACCACCGCCAGCGCTTTAAACCCACCCTCGCACCACCGCTAGCGCGAGCTCTCTTCCTCTTCTTCTTCTCGGTGATCTGGAAACCCCTATTTAGGAGAAGAGATCTGAGACAGATCTGAAAGACATCTACGATAGAAAAGGAGATCTGCAACAAAGAGAGAAGAATAAGGACGCCGGTGATGCTCTCTATTCCGTCCTCACAGTTTCAACTTCTTTTTCTTTTTTTTTCCGTCCTTTTTTGGGATTAGTTTTGTCCCAAAACGACATCGTTTAGGGGCACTATAGGAACACTGCGGTGCAGAGGATCTGGACGAGAGAGGGAGAGAGGGAGAGAGGCGTTTGAGGGTATTTCTTTCGTCGGACGCCTTCTGGCACGTAAGACATTCTTCGGGATTTCTTGCGATTCTTCTCAACGGAATAACTGTTTGGCAGTTATGTGTTTTAGTAATGGCATTTTCGTCATTTGCTGTGCATTTATATCTTTCAAAATAAAGGATTAGATTAATGTATTACCACTTGGCTTGAGTTTGTTTGGCGGATTAAGGCTTATTTTGGAAAGATGGTAAAAAGTAATTTTTTGGCTTTTAATCAAATTTTTGGCTTTTTTAGACAAATGATTTGGGAAGTTGGTAAAAAGTGACTTTTGACTTTTTTGATTAATATTTGTTTATGATGTCAAATCATAATAAAATGACTAAACTACCCCCATTTATTTAAAATATTTACAACTTCATCTATGTAACACATTTTGACCCATGAGGGGTAAAATTCTAATTTCACCGTTGGCTAAAAACCAACTTCCCAAATGAAAAAAAAGCCAAAAAAGCCAACTTTTGACTTTTGCTACTAACCAAAAAAAGTGGCTAAAAACTATGTTGTCAAAATAAGCCTAAGTTAGATAAAATTATAAGTATAGTTAAAATTGAATAAATAGATTATTAATGTGATAGTATTAATTTAGAGATGTATGATAAAATGTGTTTGTTTATTTACTAGTATGATGATATTAGTTTGATATGATTAAATTTATAAAATTACGTAAATACCCTCATTGCATAAAAATTAGCTTTGTTATTTTTGTAATGTAATGGCAAATTTGTCTTTTTACACCCAATCCCATCCCTTTCATGGGAAAGCTAATTTCACCATCTGGAGGCATTCATAGTCTCATGAGATTATTAGCCCCTTTCTATTTTTGTCAACTAAACGTGAGTTATGCAGGGCTTATTGGATTGCTAATCCAATCCCTCCACGTATATAGTCAAACAAACATGACCTTCATATATTAATAAATAAATAAAAAAACAAGTAATGTTATCACTAAAAAAAAATTATTGATGACATAAAAATAATATATAATTTATACAAAATGATGCATACAATCTGTATTTATTCATTTCAAATTAAAATATCCATCCAAAATGATTTAATATTTTAAAAAATGTCACTGCAGATTATTTTCATGAATATATATATATATATATATTTTACAAATCATTTTCTAAACAAATTAATCATTTTCCATTGTAAGTACTTGCTATAATTGGATCACATGTTCAATTTCTTATATGTTTAGTCCAATGGAATAGTTTCTCAATTATTGCAACATTTATGTGTGAGTACAATTGCAAAATAAAATGAATCACTCTTCATCTCCTATTAGTGATTTATACAAAAGCTATTAATATAACTATTCACAGATTATTTATTTACTGGAAAATGTTTGAGATTCTTGAAAAGTACTCATAATTTTATTCATAATGATGTGATAATATATGTGTCAACTTTTAATTTGTTATATACTTAATGATGGTGGATTCAATTTTCATATATTACATCATTATAAGTAAATTTGTGAGTATAAATGTCTGAGTCTCTAACGTTACTCTTATTTATTATCCATTTTTTTACTTTGTCAACTATTCATAGATTTGTATATAGAAGATGATCTGAAATGTAAAATCCAATTAACCTCTAAATAATCCACACTCCGTTTGGCATGCCTGTTTGGGCTAATTTAGCCATATAGGACAAAATTAGCTATTTTAGTCAAATAGAACAAAATGTCACATTCAAATCATAATCATTTTGTTTTTCCTCTTACAAAAGTCAAAAAAGCCCCTTTCCAAACGAGGCCTTTTAGCCCCAAGCTAAAATAGCCAAATAGTCAAAAAGTCAACTCACATCCCAAACGAAGACTAAGTAATTTTCAAACGAAAAGAATACTTTCAAACACTCACTAATACATAGAGACATAAAGGGAGAAGGAAGATCACCTTGTCTCACAAAGATTAGTCTAATTTATCCTACAATAAACATATTTTTATCATAATTAACTCCCAATTGCATTAAGTCCCTTAATTAATTCTTAAACTATACCTATTAGAATTGTCTCTATTTACTTATTTATTTATAATACGCATTGTTTCTATTTTGTATGACCTTTTAAGTTGACACTTATATAAGTTAATGGAAATGATAACAACATATTATAACCACCCTGCATAATATGAACATAATTCAATTATTCAAACAACATATAATTTTGTCAAATCCCTAACTTTATCATCTGTTCTATCTGATATTATCATCAGGTAATAGTAAAATTAGAAACGTTTTATAATTATCAAATTATATTTTAAAAGATCACATAAGACTTTTTTTTGTTTTATTTGATAGAGATAGACCTTTTGTTGAAAACATTTACATGGCCGTGCAAGTTTCACTAACCCCAATCAACACATATTTATATTATTGATTAAACACCTCATTTACTAAACCAATCTTAGTCACTCCCATTTGGATTATCTAAAGCTGCCTTGCGTTTATACTGATTAGAAATAACAACTTTTCTTCTTGATTAATTATGAGAGTAGAAAGAGAAGAGAAAAGAGAAACTCTTATATTGAATTGAACGTGGTAACAATGTATATAAGACTCCTTTATATAGGAGGAGAGAAGCTAACTATGATAATATACAGAATATAATATATAAATATACAGAGAATATATACTATAGGTAACATTGATATTCACTTTTTTATCATTTTTTTCCAAAAGTTTAAAAAAAAAATCAAATTAATGATTAAGCTACTTTTGACCTATTGCATTATCTAAATCTCACAATGAAATGAGGGGCAAAATTGACATTGAATCCCTGATTGACGCAAATTTTAACAAGCTCTCCTTGATGGCAACTTTTTAATTAAACAAATAAATAAAATAAACAACAATGTTTGAGAGTCACAATTTTTGTGGCTACAATGGCTTAAAACTGTCAAAATAATATCGTTTTGACAGTTTTGAACAATTGTGACCACAAAAATTGTGAACTCAAACATTTTCCTAAAACAAAATATAAAAACAGAAGAAAAAGAGGCTGAGGTATGACAGAACTATCATGGATGATTGGACATGGGTTTGGATTCCCTGTGAAATGAAACATGAGAACACGTTAGTAAGTGCTTCATGCAATTATGCCCTGTTGGCAATCAGCTCATTTGGAGCCCTTTTTTTTTTTTTTAATTATTATTATTTTTTAATGCATGATGGGTCAGTTTTCTGTTGTGAAAGCCTGTGTCTCCATCATATGTTTTCAATAATTATGACGCAATGTGGTTGTATTAATACATAATATGATTTGATTAGGATTGCATATGTAATTTAGGTCAAGTTTGGGAAGTTAGAAATAATCCATCTTTTTATCTTTTTATCTTTTTTTCATCACATCATCTCTCTATTTTTCTGCACATCTTTTCATAAAAAGACAAAAAGTGCACTTATTTAGTTCATCCCAAACAACTCCTTAGTTAAAATTGATTATTTTATGCAACTTGAGAATAACGCGAAGGAAAACAATGATATCTCTATAAAGTCGTTTCTAATTTTATTCACAATGACATTAAAGATTATATGTCAATATTTGATTTATGAAAACTCAATTATATAAGATTCAACTTTTTTACCATGTGATTGTGATTAAATTATGAATTTATAATATTTTTCATAATCTAATATAGTTAACCAAAAAATATTTAATTAGTTATATTAATTTTAATTTTTTATGTGACAAAATGAACACAAGTGGACTTCTGTATCATGTAATCCTTTTGGAGAGTGTGCACCACAAAAGTTTTGAAACTATTAGAACAAGTCAAGCATGGACATGGAGATGCTTTTTTAAACTAATTAGAACAAGTCAAGCATGGATATGGAGATGCTTCTTTGAGGTCTTTCTTAATAAAATTATGATAAATTACACTTTATAATTTTAAATTACTATTTTTTTTTTGTTGGCCTTTAAAGTTAATATTTTCTTAACAATCTGATCCCTTAACTATTATATTTTTGTTAATGTGATCCAATTTTTGTCAAATACACTTAACATATTGATTTGAATGGCCAAAGTAGAAAATGTTTAACACTAGGCTCAAAGTGGAAAAATGTAACACTTAAGGCGTTAAAGTATAAAAAGTGTTAGTACCACTTCTTTTTTTCTTTTTCTTTTTTAAATACTAAAAATTGGATGGATGGAAGTTATCACATTGACAAAAGTTTAATAGTTTAATTATTAAATTATAACATACTAGATTAAAAGTTTAAGGGGTCAAAAAGAGAATTAGTTAATACTTTAAAGGTGCAAAATGTAATTCATTCTAAATTTTAAAGTTGTTACCAATTAACCTTCAACCAAATTATAGTATCAAATGTAACATATATGTGCTTTGAATACAAGTTTTAAGTTTGCTAGGTCTAACAACATATTTACTGCTTTGAATACAAGTTTTAAGTTTGCTAGGTCTAACTACATATTTACTGCCCTTTCTTTGGTGTGTGTGTGTGTGTGTGTGTGTGTGTGTGTGTCTGTGTGTGTGAGAGAGAGAGAGAGAGAGTACTAATTTAAGTTACAATCAAAATTACATTATATAATAATTATTAGGTTGACATTATCCAACTTTTTTATTTGGTAAGTATGAGTTCAGCTTGATTATATTGCATCAGTCATATAAGTGACATAGGTTGAGATCATCCATCACTACAACAAAATGTACCTTTGGCGATTAAAATTGGCAGCTAAAAAAAATATAGTCGCCAATAGTTGTGGAATTGGTAATCAAAATTTTTTTTAGTCGGGATATATTGATTATTGGTGACTAAAAAAAATTTAGTCACTAAATATAAAAGAATTGGCTACAAAAAAATATTTTAGTCGCCATATATTGAGTTTTGGCTACTAAAGCAATTTAGTCGCCAAATGTAAAATAAAAAATTATTTTTT